ACTCTACTCTAAAGTAGTAGAGCTAACACTATTCGTCCACTCTACTCTAAAATTTTATAGTATGCTAATAATACACAGTAGGGATTTTAAAAGGACAGACCGAGTAAGCATCACCTTAATAGCTACTATAATCCATTCAAACTGTCCCTAGCGATTGATTAAGGCTACAAATGTCATCACTAGTGCGGTGGAGTCGGCAGTCCGATCCAATGCGCCACTATCAATAAACCCTAGTGAACAGTTTAGCCAAATTACAGTGGACATAAAGGGGCATTTGGCTAGTGAAATAGTCAGTGTAGAGGGTTAGTAGCGAATGTGAGGTCCCTAGAATCGGGTAGTAGGTAGATGAGATAATATAGTAATGTAAAAGATTTTTAGTTCTTAGATGTTTAATGGTATGCGTGGAACTTTTAACTACGATACATTATATAGAAAGCTCTTTCTCAGCCGGTTTTTAGATGCTGTGCATTAACAATGAATAACAAACAGACTGTATTATGAGCTAGAAACTAGGAAAACACTGCCTTCTTGAAGGCGTCCTAACAGGAAACGGGGGAGTGAGGCAACCTAACCAAACGACGCACGTGTCGCGCCCAGCTAGGAAAGCCGGTAGGGTCTCCGAAGAGAAAACATCCTCCTCGCGGCCGGACTGACGAGGCTGAGCTGCCGGAAGCTTAGGCCTAGGCTTAAGGATGACGCGGTTGCTAGCACATCGCATAAGCTAGTCTATAGAGACACGATACTCAGCACTTCGCTCTATAATTTTTCCTAATTAAAGAAAGTCGCCCTAAAAATTTAATACTAGTAACATATTTATTTATATCTATATTAGGCTTAAGCGAGATATCACACCTATGTGTCACATGCCCTAGCAGCAGTCTAGTAACACACTATCTACTCTACACTATCCCCGCCGCCTGTCTAATTAGTGTGGACACTGTATTTATAGCTTCTCACTAGTGAGAACCATACATTCTAGTTCATAGGCCGTTTACTATATCCGATCCCTATTTAACTTTTATCCATCGATGCTACCAGCTAAGGCCGGATGATAGTGGCACAACTATAAGCGCTAGCTAGCCCTCGGGCGGCAGCAACGCGGACTAGGGCTAGAAACAGCGGATAGACCCTAGTGGATCCAGAAAACATACAGCAGCCTAGGGGCCAGCTTAATACAGTTTACTAATTAGAGAGTTTAAAAGACTAGCGTTTAGGGCAGTATTATAAGCGCTTAGAAGAGTGTTAAATCAGATCGTATTATTAAACCTATTTCTGTCTGCTTTATGGTGGTTGTGCTACTAAGACTGTTTACAGCTCGTGGTAGCGTTTCTAGGCGTGCCAACGATCGAGACAGAGGGACCTTAGAAACAGTCTTACGTCAAACATAATATAATAGCTCCAACAGCTAGCGTTTCATAACTAAGATCCTTAAGCAAACCTAACAATAATAATACTATAATCACAGTGTAATAGAACAAGCGAGAACTTTACTAGAGCGACGTATTAATTAATGAGAAGATACAATCAACTAAGCCGTCAGTACAGCGCCGACTTTTATATATTAGTGCACTAACAACATCAGCACTACGACTATTACTTAACTAAGGATAGCCATTTTCTAACTCACATTAACATAGTACCTTAGATTCTTCCTTTTTAAGGTCATTTTAATCGAATGTAACACTAAATTGCTCTAGGAAACGGTCTATCCTTAAGCTAACAGGCGGACGCCTAAAGATTTTGGCCTTAAAACTCAGCAAAGCGGCCCTACTAATTAATATATTTAATAGCAATACTACACGACGTGATAGAGAAAAAGAGGCCTAGCATTATCTCTACCTACATTGCACTCTTAGGTGATACGGCTAAAATCACCAGGCGATCAATTAAACTCTACGGCCGTAGAGGATACTGCACTAAGGATAAGGCTACTCATCTAGTGGAGTTAAACAACTTGCTTCTAGAGAGACGTCTTAAAACCTAAACATAAAGCTAGCTAGGGTGGAAGAGTGGCAGTTAGTGCAACTAAGTGCTAGTGCTAGTCAGTGGCTATTAGCAGAGGCTAGTCGTACTAAATCAGCTATAATTACCCCTAATCGGTTACTTTTAGTGGCAGTGGCTGCTAGTGAGGATCTCACGTTAAGGAGGTGCTTAAGAATGATTCTTTTAGGAAATAAACGAGTGACTAGGTCTATACTAGATTCTAGATATAAGACGTAGCGCGAGGAAGCAAGAGAAAGAGAAAGCTTAGCTTCTAGGTGCGCGAAAAGAATAAGGGTATTACGTAGTCACGTGAAATCGCGCTGCTTCAACATACCTAGTGTTTACTAGTTAAGACGGGGGCTAGATGCTGAAAAGAGGCCGACTTTACTAGTACAGCATTATTCACTTCACTGTTTACTAGTTAAGACAGGGACTAGGATGACTAAAAGGAGACTGAATTTACTAGTACAGTATTATTCACCTCACTGTTTACTAGGCAAGATAGAGACCGCCTGCTGAAAAGAGGCCGGCTTTACTAGTCCTATAGCATTTATATAGCTGTGTACTAATCGAGACAGGGACTAGAATGACTAACAAGAGGCCGACTTTACTAGTACAGTATCATTCACTTCACTATTTACTAGTCAAGACAGGGACTAAAATGACTAAAAGGAGACCGAATTTACTAGTACAGTATCATTCACCTAACTGTTTACTAGTCAAGATAGAGACCGCCTGCTGAAAAGAGGCCGACTTTACTAGTATAGTATCATTCACTTTACTGTTTACTAGTTAAGATAGAGACCGCCTACTAAAGAGAGACCAACTTTACTAGTCCTACAGCATTTGCATAGCTGTGTACTAGTCGAGACAGGGACTAGAATGACTAATAAGAGACCGACTTTACTAGTACAGTATTATTCACCTCACTATTTACTAGTCAAGATAGGGACTAGATGCTGAATAGAAGCCAACTTTACTAGTCCTACAGTAGTTACATCACTGTTTACTAGTTGAGATGGGGACTGGATGCTGAAAAGAGGCCGACTTTACTAGTCCTATAGCATTTACATCACTGTTTATTAGTTAAGGCAGGGATAGAGTACTAGAAAGAGGCTGACTTCACTATTATTGCCGCATTTCAGCTTTGTTTAGAAGCCTACATTCAATAGAGTGCTAGGAAAAAGGCTGCTTCTTACCGCTAAAGCGCTAACCATTCACTATCCTCATAGCGTTAGCCACTAATTGACTAGTAATTTTGCTTCTAAATAGAAAATCACATTAATAATCCGTAGGATTTCTCTATACTAGTAAGTATTCAGTTCAGCGTTAGCGTCACTATGAGTGGCGTGCCCTTATACAATAGTAGCGTCGTAAAGCGCGCCACTAGGCTAATACTGCCCGACTTATTAAGCGTCCCGTAGTAGACCTTAGCGCCGGTGCTGAAGCGTCCGTAGATGCGCTCCTTCTCGCCGTTTTACGGCGGAGGGGGCGGTAGTATTATTACCCTCGTTGGCTCGTCGGTCCCGTTCGGGGTCGCGACGTCGCGTGACGGCTCAGCGTCGCCGCTAAAGTTGTACGTGCCGTACAGGCCGAGGAGACCCCCGTCAGATGAGGCGAGGCCCTCAATGGCGTACTTTCCCACGACTTACTGCGCGAGGCTGAGCGTCGTGCCGCCGTTGCGTAGGTGCTAGCCCGGCACGGCGCTAAACTGCACCTGCAGGTGCCGCGAGAGCCACCGAACCATAAGCGCCTCGAGCTGTGACTGTGGCAGGTAGAGTCGCCCGTAGAGCAGCGACGCCTGTGGCTCGCTGGCGGCGGCGTCGTTGTTGGGGCTTGCCGCCGGCCGTCGCCGCGCCCAGTTTCAGCGGCGTCAGCGGGCGGTAGGAGCGCAGCAGTGCGGGCAGCGCTACCTTTTCTAACTGTAGTGTGAGGAGCACACACAGTGGCACCGATAAGAAGAGGTACGAGATAGAGCCGTCGACGACACCGACAGAGCCTAGCTAGTACGACGTAGCGAAATTTAGGCTCGTGAGGGCGGAGAGTGTGAGGCGCAGACCACGTGGCGTTAGGAAGTTTAAGAGGGCTATCGTTTAGTCGACTTAATTAGCATGCTTATAGTCTTTTATAGTCGTCTTAGTGCGTATTAGACGGTTCTATGTAACTTACTATCACTAGTGGCGTTTAGTGCCGCCTACGAATTATCGTAGGACCAGCCTATGGCCTTATAAAACGCACTATAGATATAGTCTATAAACTCGCGCATCTCATTACACTTAGTGACATATACTGTCTAGTGTCTGTGGATGTCCGGAGGATTAGGCTCATTCGGCGGCTTCCCTTAGGGACGGAATGTTCTAGTTAAGTCGCAGTGTTATAGAGAGGAAGCGGTAATCCTAGTTAGTAAAAGGTCAGCGTTAGCGCCCTAATCTTTAATATAAACCACTACTAAAGAGCTGAAGAGTTAATAGTAATCGATTTAATTTAAAGTATTAGTTAAAACTTAACCTCTAAAATCCGTCATTATGATTTCTTTACTTCTTTTTTTTTCCTAGTCTTAAGACGATAAGGCTCCACTCATAAGACAGACGTTAGTATAAAAAGCAGCGCTCGGCCAGAGCGAATCGCCTAATACCACCGTAGGGAAGAATCCTAGTTATTAGTTAAAGTAGAATAATAACGCGACAGTCTACTAGTGAAATAATAAAAAATTCACATCACAAACCAGCCAAGTCCAATAGCTAAGGCTTAGCTGCACACAGCATTTAAGTCGTGGGACTTAACGATGCCCCACAGTGATAGTAATAGCGGTAGCTTTAGTAGTTAATAATAAATGCGAGATTATATTACTCTCTACAGCCCTTTATGACTATTATTTAAATAAACTTAAAGTCTCTTAATGTTAAACTTAGCCCTCACTATCATTTCTAACACTTAATTAGCTATTTTAGCCTTCTTTCGCGTCACTATCACCACTTATACTAACTCAGGCAGCTACCCTATACAATAACGTAGCTATGGCCACCATCCTAAGCACTATGAAGGCCCTCGTTAGTGTAAATGATGCCACTAACGCCTCCGCCCCGTCGCCCGTGCCTAGACGCGGTGCAACGGTCCAGGACGTGCCCGTGCCGACTATCACCAACACCTAGATTCTCGTTAAGGTGAACACTATTGCCCTTAACCCCGCGGACTTTAAGCACATTAACCGGCTCTTAACTAAGGGCGCTATCGCCGGCTGTGACTACGCTAGCGTGATTGCTAAGGTTGGCGGCGACGCTGCCACTGCCAGCTGGAAGGTCGGCGACCGTGTGGCCGGCTGGGTCCACGGCGGGCTGTGGCAGGACCGCGGCAGCTTCGCGCAGTACCTTAAGGCCGACGCCGACCTCGCCTAGAAGGTGCCTAACAGCGTGTTGGACCTCAACGCGAGCACGTACGGCGCCTACGCCGCCACCGCCATCCTCGGCCTACAAGAGCACCTCGGCCTACCCTGGCCTAACACGATAACGACGACAACGACCACCACTACCACTAGCGAACCCATCCTTATCTACGCGGCCTCCACTAGTATGGGGCTCTTCGCTATGAACCTCGCTAAGCTTACTAGCCGCACCGTCGTGGCCACGGCCTCGCCGTATAACTTCGACCTAGTGTGGCGCCACGGCGCTAACGCCGTCTTCAACTATAAGTCGCCGACCTTAGCCGCCGACATCCGCGCAGCCTACCCGTCCCTACGCTAGGCCTTTAACGGCTTCTCTAAGAACGGCACTATTGAGTTGTGCGCCGCCGCGCTATGACCCGGCGGCACTATCGTCGTGCTACAGCCGTCCGCGGCTGCTAAGATCGACGGCGTCGAGGCCTAGCACATCCTAGCGTACACTATGCTCGGCAGGGAGTTTCGCCTACCCCCGCAGCACGGGACTAGGTACCCGGCGAGCGCGGAGGACCGCGTGGCACTAGCGCGCTTCTATGCGCTGCTGCTGGGCATCGTTAGTAAGCTGAAGCCCCTCCCCGTTAGGGAGATGTCGGGCGGGCTTAAGGGCCTAGGAGAGGGGTTGAACTTGCTCCACGAGGGTAAGGTTTTAGGCACTAAGCTCGGTTATAAGCTAGAGTAATAAGGTTTATAGTAGAATAGTGGAATAGATTAGTGTATAACTATATAGATTACTAGCTAATATAGCTGCCCTAATAGAATATAAATTGATTTTAACTTTATCCTAGGAGTTAGTAGATGCTGACTTCGTAGTTGACTGGCCGCCCTAACTTAAGAATGAGGCTGTGAATCTTTACTAATCTATTAAACTATGATGAATCTTACCTCTAAGATAGTGCACTAATAATCACTAGCGATTCGCGATTCGGCCCTAAAACCGTGGCACCTATTATTTCCCTAGTGGCTTCCTAGACGGATCCACGATAAAGCCCTACCTTAGTATTAGTTTATTTTTATAAGGGTTACGCATTAACTACAATAATCTTCTAGCTTACGACAGTATGCCACCGCTATAACCTTAATCGTATTACTGAGATCGCTGGCTGTTAAAGCACTACCGCCTATAGATCGGTCTCACTTACACTCTATAATAGTTTAAAAATCATATTACTATAGAAAAAAAATTATCAGTAAATCCTCCATCGTAGAAGAGGGCTGGAGTGAAACAGCTTTACGAGCGAGCGGGGTGGTTGCCTATATAGGAGGGAGTAAAACGCGGCGACCGCCGCTACTACGACTAGTCATATTAAAATATTTTATAAATGAATATAGATAGGGTATAGACGAGTAGGGTGTGACTAGGAAATTAGTACGAATGGATAGTATACGGGGATTAGCGCGTTAATGTCGATGGGCACGAGACGGGCGTGGTTCGTAGCTTAAGGCATTCTGACTCATAGGGCGCGCACTAGGATAAGAGGTCATAGAGTAAAGTATTAAGTAATTCACATACTATATTTAGATAACTATAATATAGTACACGTATAAGTAGATAAGTCACCCCTTTATAACCGCTTTCTTTATAGCTTTCTTCTACTATCGTCCTCTAAGTGCCTTTTTATAGTGCGCCGCCTGCCTTTATCTCCTCTTTATAACTTAGTCTAATGTCCTAAGACTTACCCTATAGATTTACTTAATATGGTTTTAGAAATGATCTATATGTATAAATTTCTCCTATCTGCATTTTGGATGGCCACACTAAATGGCCTCGCCACGTTGCGCAGTAGTCTCTCGGCGGGCTAAGTGCGCGTTATTAAAGTGGTCGTTAAGTACTGGCGGACGGCACCACTTGAACTTTCACGCCTTAACCGACAGCTGCTCGTCACTAATACAGTCTAGGCACTATGTTGCTTCTATGAGAAGTGGGAAAGGATCTAGCTTAGGATCCGGCTTAGATAATGTGTCGCTTCTAGGTGACTCTTACTTAATGAAGACCTCGACCGTGGCTGGGCGTTATATGCGGTTTATTCTGCCTGTCTCCTTCTTATCGCATAAAGCCACTATTAAGTCGATGGCCTTAACTCTACGTTAGAACAGCTCTATTTCTGTCTAGTCATTAGGTTACAGACATAGAATGTTAGCTAGTCTTACCCTTTCTAGTATAACGAGGTCCATTGCGGGCTGCTTATATTCCTCCTCCACCTCCCCACGGGCTTAAGCCTTAATGTCCTAGGTGGGACGGTTATAGAAATAGTATTCACGATATTCTTTCACGACCCTCCTTTCATTCTGTGTCCTCTTCTTTCTAATCTCGTCCGTAAGTGCTCGGATCCTATCTTTATACTCACTACTATTAATCTAATACCGTCCCTACTTAAGCATTATGCGCTCCTCCTCTAACTTTATAATCTTAGGGTCAGGTGGCTGATTTACCTATACCTTCTCGGGCACTATATCCCTTACAGCACGAGGGTCGTGGGTTAAGCTTATATATACAAACATACAGAATAGTTGGCTTTGCTTTTCTTCCTCTAAGAAGGCGTTCTAGAGATTAAAGTTAGTAATCTCATTTAGATACATACTAAAAAAAGTTTTAAACCTAGGCTTATACTGTATCATCTAGTCGCGGACTAAATCCATTATATTACCTAGTAAGATAAGTTTTAGTATTAAAGATTTTAGAGGCATATGTGAGCTTAGGCATACTATTTATAGCGTTCGAAGCACCTCTCCGAGCGAATCTAGGCGTCTAAGCCTTCTCGTGGCCAGATTTAAGGCTCTGTCGGCCTATATCATAATTCAGCTTAGAGTAGAGCATCGCCTCGTCTTTAGACAGCGTAGTACCGTTAATGCGGCGAAAAACAGGGACTTTTAATTTCTCCTTTTTCTAGCGGATTAGCATACAATCTTAGGGACCCTAAACATCCCTTAAGAGGAGACTATATGCGTTGGTTAAGTAAGCCGCATCGAACGTATAGTCATATAGGGCTAGTGCTATAATAACTATAATCGCGTTAAAAATTAGCTTCCTTATAGGCGTGAAAAAAAAAATCATCCTAACACACAATTAGTAGTCAACTAGACGGTAGTAAGGTAGTATATAGGATAGAACACACGGCTTTAGCTTATTATCTACTCCTTTATAGTGGATAAACTTAATAGCTATGGCTAATACGGCCTTCCCTATAGTAGGGTGCCGCATAAGCATTAAAAGAATATCCTTATAGCATAGAGCTTTAGGATAGTCTCTCTTAATTGTCTCTTATAGAAGTATCTTATTAAGCTCCACGGATTACTTATCTAGTATTTAATCCGCACTATTATCGTTTTCCGCTTCTTATATAACTTTCTAGCTAAAGAGTATCTCTCGAGAGCCATCCTTTAGACCTTTTCTCTCGCCATCCACAAGCTCTATAGGTCGGGCCCTAGTATAACATAGGAGCTAGTAGCAGCCGGCTAACTGGATCCAATGACGCCCGAGGCTGAATACGCTCGTGTTATACGCGATATTGAATATTAGGATGACCTAGAGACTGTTAACATTAAGAACCGGCTTACTGTTAATATTCAGCGCTTAGAGATTAAAGTGAGGGATTAAAACATTATAATAGTACTAGGCGACGGTTAATAGACATAATTAGGTGCTCCCACTCGGAGGGGTTCAATACCTTATAGACTTCCTTCGTATCGTTTCTATCCATATAACGCCCTATAACAGTCGTATAGAGCTACTAGAATTAGTGAATATACTCTTCTAACGTACCCTACGACTAGACGTTATAGTTTCTACAGACGAAGAGAAAAAAGTCCATCGTAGTGGCACGGGTTAGGTTAATAATCGTCGCTCGCTAGTCGCTAACGTCCTTTTCACTGTAGTAGCTACACTAAGGTTAGCTGTAGGCTCGAAGATAGGCTTATAGGCAATCTCAGCGCACCGTTTCCATCTTCTAAAGATGCTAGAGACGTTGATCTCTGTTTTAGTAGAGTACTTAGGCTTTACAAATCGAACGGTGCTAAGACACTCCCGGTTCATAGCGTACTGCTCGGCTGAGAGCGGCGCAGGCTTTAGTGCTCTTTTAAGCTGCTTGGCTCTTTAAAACTAGAGGAACTCGAGGTGGTGGTTGTCCGGAGCGTTTGCATAGTGTGTGCGGGCGACAGCGCTTAGCATCGTGGCAGGATCGTTTCTGTTGAACTAGGGAGGAGGTGGCCTGGGTTGGAGGCCACGACGGACTTAGAGTGATGGAGAAAAGGAGATGGGAAGGGAAGCGAGCAGGCCGCCGCTCTATATATCGTGGTGCTAGTCATTCTAGTGGTAAACGCCGCTAGAATACGTGGGCGGTAAAAATAGAAAAGCAGCCAACGAACCCGAGGAACGAGAATGGATGTACTCCGTAGGCTCCTGTGGTTAGAAGCGGGGAGTGGGCCGGTTGTATGCTAAGGCCGCCCGAAGTACACAGTACCTGACGGGGGTGGGCTGGAGCGTGAGTCTCCTCACTGCTGTTACCGCTAAAAACGGCGGCAGAACCCGCCAGATTTAGTGGCTTCAGCAGCGCATCTTGCATTTAAAGAGTAAAATAAAATTAGTATAAATATACTATAAGTAAAGTATAAACTACTAATAAGTTTATAATATAAAACACTAAAATTCTTAAAAAACTTTTATAGTATAAGACTATAGTAAAGTTATAGTAAGACTATAACTACTATACTTCTTCCTCCTCCTCCTCCTCCTACTTAAAATTAGATAGAGTAGATACTATACTAGGGTCTAATAAACTAATAGACACTTATATAAGTTAACTATAAAGTTATAAAGAGAACCTATTATACTTACTATAAGAGAGTATATAATACTAATATAATAGTATACTATATATATAATAAAAAACTATATATATATAATAGTATTAATATAAACTTTATATTTAGTTATTATTTTAATAT